TCCTTCTCTCGAAGAATCTTCTGGTAAGTCTTCTGAAGAGCCTGACAACCATCAAAATGAAGGGGAAAACATTATTAAAAGAATTAAATTCTTGAAGTAAAAAAAAAGGTGGGGTTTTGGCGTAATCTGCTATAATTATTCATTAGAAAAACAACAAAACTGCCAACAAAACAAAAGTCATGTGGTGTAACCAACATGCAGAAATCTGCATTTAAAAAATGGTTAGATTTAAAGGAGTAGTTCACTTTTAAAAAAAACTTTTGCTGATAATTTACTCACCCTCATGTCATCCAAGATGTCCATGTCTTTCTTTCTTCAGTCGAAAAGAAATTAAGGTTTTTGATGAAAACATTCCAGGATTTTTCTCCATATAATGGACTTCAATGGGAATCAAACGGTTCAAGGTCCAAATGAGTTTCAGTGCAGCTTCAAATGACTAAACGATTCCAGACGATGAATAATGAATAAAAATAAATAAAAAAAGTTTACGTTTTATAAGCACAAATGCTCGCCTTGCTCTGTTCTGTGATGAGCGTTTGTGACTCTCCTGTTCAAACTCGTTCATCAAAATGAACAAATCTTTTTTCGAGTCATGACTTGAAGGGTCCTAGATAAGACCCTTATTCATCGTCTGGTGTCGTTTAAAGCCCTTTGAAGCTGCACTGAAACTCTCATTTGGACCTTGAACCGTTTGGTTCCCAATGAAGTCCATTATATGGAGAAAATCCTGGAATGTTTTCATCAAAAACCTTCATTTCTTTTCGACTGAAGAAAGAAAGACATGGACATCTTGGATGACATGGGGTGAGTAAATTATCAGCAAAAGTTTTTTTTAAAGTGAACTACTCCTTTAAGGTTATTCAATTGTTACAAAAAAAATGTATATAAACTTGTTTTATTTATTCAAGGTCTGAAAACTTTTTGCTATGACCAGTTGTCATTTTCTGCAAATAAATGCTCTAAATGGCAATGTTTTTACTTGACATTTGGTAAAAATTTTGTCAGTATTTCATAGAATAAAACAAAAATGTTCATTTTACTCAAACGCAAACAAAACATACTAAATCTAGAGAAACTGACAACTTTGCAGTGGTCTCTTAATTTTTACCAGAGCAGTGTGTGTGTATATATATATATATATATATATATACACACACACACTTATAAATTCTGTATATAAATTTTACCTTGAAAAATAAATAAATTATTATTACCTATAAAATATATAAACCTTTTTGTAAAGATTAAGCTGTGTAAACTCAAATGCATAGTGTAGGGAAATGTACTAATACATTGTTATTCGATAGTTACATTTTCAGAGCCATTCAATTTCAAGAAATACATTATTTTCTTGAAGATAGAGTGAAAGTTTTGCAAAGCCATATTAAAAAACGAATAAAAACAGTGAATAAACAGAAAAATGAATTTAAACAGTATGTCTAAAAAGAATTTGGCATTTGTTTTAAACTAGATTTTGAAATTATTTTTCTTTATTACTTCGCCCACCGCATTTATTTGCCATTGACCCACATAAAAAGGTCAGATTATCTTATTCTCTCTCAAACCTGCAGCTCAGCACGCAGCCTCTTGTTCTCTTCATCTAGCTTGGCTTCTTTCTTCTGCATGGAGGCGATCTCATTGTTCTTGCTGACCCTGAAGATCTCGTATTCTTTCCTGAGGCGCTCATACTCCGCCGCATACTCCAGTTCCACCGATCCGGTGGATTTGAAGCTGGCGCCGATGACACGAGGCCCGCGGCGGAAGGAGCTCCGCAGCAGACGTGCTTTTGGCTTCACCTCCACCGGTATCTCACATGCCTCTCCTCCCTCACCACCGTACGCATCCTCAATCACCTCACCAGGGCTCACCAGAGAGGATGCCGTACCCATAGCAACTGATGAGACGTCAGTCAGCTAGATCACTCTTCCAGAATGTGCATTGCTGGTTCTGTTGGACAAAGGAAACACTTTTAATTGTTAACTTGAAACTGTGTCCCAAAATAGTAGAGCAGCAGGGATGACAGGTCTTGTTTTGTTTTGCTTTATTTAAGGAGATATCATGGCCCAGTTTCACAGACAGGGCTTAGATTAAGCCAGGATTGGGCCTTAGTTCATTAAGTAACTTTTCTAAATGTGCCTTAGGAAAAAAAAAATTACTGGTGTTTTCTTGAGTCAAAAAAGTGACACAGACATATTTTAACATAGCAAAATGGAAATTATTTTAATTAGACCCTCAGACTATTCCACCATACCTAAAGTTCATTTTGGTGGTTTGTCGTCTTATGTGAAGCCGTGGGTGAGAAATTTGGGTGTAGTTTTTGATGAATCCTTGAAATTTGAGAGGCAAATAAATTCAGTAGTGAAATCTTGCTTTTTTCAGCAAAGACTATCAAAAGTAAAGACATTTCTCTCTTTTAAAATTTTCAAAACAGTAATACATGCATTTATTTTTTTCTAGGCTAGATTACTGTAACGCTCTTTATGTTGGGACTAGCCACTCACCAATGTCACGACTGCAATTAGTACAAAATGCGGCAGCTAAAAATGCGTAATCATATCACGCCAATTTTACACTCCTTACACTGGTTGCCAGTGCGCTATAGAGTGGAGTATAAACTTTTAATTTTTGTGTATAAATCTCTGAATAGTCTGGCTCCACCATATTTGTCTGCTCTTTTGACTGAGCATCATCCGTCTAGATCACAACGGTCATCAAACCAGAGACTCCTATCTATCCCTAAGTCAAAACTAAGGTCTAGGGGGAACCGTGCCTTTTATGTAGTTGGCCCCAGACTATGGAATGACTTGCCCAAGAGTGGCCTCTTCGTTATTTGTCTTTAAATCCAAGCTAAAAACACTTTTATTGGATAAGGCATTTAACACATGATAAAGCATTATTCCACTCTATCTCATCATCATATGGTTGAAGCACATCTAATAGTATTCTATTTAAATGTATACCTGCATTGTTGTTGTATTGTTGTTTGTTTTATGATTTTTATTAATATTGTAAAGCACATTGGACAATGTAAATTGTATTTAATTGTGCTATAGAAATAAATTACCATACCATACCATACCATACCATTTTAAGATACAGTGCAAGTTGCTTTCAGTTAATAGACTAAGTTACATCTCAAACATGCATTTTAGTCTGGGACTAGGTTTAGGCCTTGTCTGTGAAACTGGGGGTAAGTTAAATATCATATTTTACAGAAACTGCTGGGTATGTTTTGGTCTATGATTAATTCAGTATGCAAACTCGTTTGCAAACTCTTGTTGTCATATAAAAAAATCCAGTTATTTCACCAAGTTAATGTAACGGAAATATTTTCATAGGACAGTGGCTCAGAAAAGTATTTTAGACACCTAGGCTAAATCACACATAAAAAATACAAGTTTTTATAACGTTACATGCGTATGGTGTCTGTCTCGCAATTTAGATGGAGACGACAGAGTGAAGAAAAATTCTCCACCCAACCAAGCAGAGACGAGAACGCTAAACCAGGACAACACACATATCGATTTTAAGACCCAAAATATATAACTTATATCGACAACAAACGTTTTCATAATCTCTAGTGGCATATCAGGCATAAAGGTAAACAAATCATACCGATGCACACGTTTGATCCGCACTCTCTTCCTGACAACCACGTTACTAGGCACGCCTTCTTCTACGGGGACAGAGTGTGACCAAAAAGTTAACCTAAAGCGTTTTGGTTAAGCCTCGTGTGAATAAAAACTACATACCTTTGCGTGTGTAGCTGCAGAGTAGACACATGGTGCTTTCAAGTCTTCCTGGGAAGTTCTTATTTATGATGAGGGAAATCGTGTTTACGACGTCAGGTGAGTTCAAGTCACTTTCGTTGAAGTGATGAGTTAAATTCTTCAGTGGCTTCTTCTCTTTTTTGGTCTGATTCTCAAGGGAGGACCCGGATATGCTGTTACCATCACAAATGAAATAAGTACTTCATGTTTTTCAGGTAAGTATACCTGTATTAAGGTACAGACATCTAATCAAATGTGAAACAAGACTGGCCAAAAAAACGAATCTTTTCCCGAGTCAACTCGTTCATTTCGTTCGTTGAATGAACCAAATGACACGTAAAAAGATTCGTTCATTTTGATAAACGAGTTCGAATCGGTTCGAACGGGAGAGTCACGAACGCGCATCACAGAACAGAGCAAGGCGACCATTTGAGCTTCTAAAACTTAAACTTTTTTTTTTAAATGAGCGATCATTTCGCTTGATAAGACCCTTATTTATCGTCTGGAATCATTTAAAGCCCTTTGAACAGTTTGCAGTTTGCACTGAAACTGTCTTTTGGACCTTGAACCGTTTGGTTCCCATTGAAGTCCATTATATGGAGACCTGGAATGTTTTCATCAAAAACCTTAATTTCTTTTCGACTGAAGAAAGAATGACATGGATATCTTGGATGACATGGGGCTGAGTAAATTATCAGCAAAAGTTTTTTTTTTTGTTTGTTTGTTTGTTTTCATAAGTGAACTACTCCTTTAAGGGTTTTCTGTTAGAGCGGTGTCGTCTAAACAACGGCATAAGTTAATAATGATCTTTGCAAGGAAAGGTAATCAAAAGCTGGACAATAACTTTATTCTAGAGCTGCTGTAAAGCCAAAACAATCTCTTTCACGTTCTTTGCAACAAAATTTTACAACTGCATTTTAAATATTTAAGCCATTAAAAAAGTGATATCGAGCCATAATTTTCTTTTAATAAAGTGGGGGGGAAACAAGCCATATTATACTTTCTGGTTATTCCTTTCCAAATGGGAAATAAAATAGTGAAAATGTACAAGGAACAATCAACCATGCATTGCAATTAAAATAAAACAATTACATTTTCAAAAAAAACAAAACAAACAAAAAAAAAAAAAAAAATATATATATATATATATATATATATATATATATATATATATATATAACGACCTCAAAGAACCAAACAACATACAACAATGGTGTTTAAAATCTGTTTGTGAGGACATTGAAATGTATGTAAGATTTTGAAAGAATATTTTATTCAGATCTTGAACATCTAAAAGTGGCATATACAAAAATTATATATTATATATTAAATATTGATAAATGAAAATGCTGAAATAAGTTAAATAAACATAAAGATAACCTTGTCATTGTCATGTGTATTACAAGATGTACATCAAATGTGGAACTCCCATTTCCAGATTTCATATGAGATTTTGTCATCTTGAAATCTGGAAATGGGAGTTCCAACATTTGAGGAATCAAATTGCATGGATTCAATAGGTTTCTGAATGAACCTCCATCATTATCAGCCATACTTTTTCTACTTCTAATTTCACTTTAAACACGTGTTTAACAGATACTGATTTTCATTGTGCCTGGTAGTTAACAGCGTAGAAGATTTCTCGCCTGATCATGCGGTGGATTGCTCATCGTTGAGGTTTCTTCCACAGAGCCTCAGAAGGGTTTTTTGGTAATTTCTAGCCAGAAAGAAGTACATGACAGGATCCAACACGCCACTTATGCATGTTAAAGCTGAGGTGATTCGATTTCCCAAATGCATCATTTGTCTTTCGGATTCCGACCTTGACATGTCCTCATGCTGTATGATAAAGAAAAATCGGTGGATATGATAGGGCACAAATGCTATCAAGAAGTTAACCACTGTAAGCACGATCATTCTCATTGCCTTACGCTGAGTTGGCGTCCTTTCTTGAAAAGTCATTTGTTTGACTTTGCAAAATATGAGAATGTAAGAGACACTCAGGGTGAGCAGAGGTATCATGAATGCAATGGCAGTGGACACCACCGCAGCGGTTGGATTAGTGGACTTCTCTATGTACAGCTGTTCGCACACTGTAACATTCTGCCATTGTCTAGTCACTTCTTTTTTGGAGAACAGGATAGGCACCATGGAAATGGTCACCATGACCCACAAGACCGCACAGACCACTTTGGCGTTCTTGGTGTTTCTCAGGTTCTGAGTTTTGCATGGTAAGACACAAGCCAACAGACGGTCTACACTGATGCAGGTCATAAAGTACATGCTGCAGTAGAGGTTGACGAAGAACAGGAAACCTACCACGCGACAGGACCCTTCACCAAGAGGCCAGTGACTGTCTGACATGTGGTAGATCACTCGCATGGGGAGCACCAGGACGTAAGACATGTCCGCAATAGCCAGGTGCTTCAGGAACTCTTTGGAGGGGGTGTTGTTGGTGTTGTTGTGGCAGAAAACCCAAAGTGCCAAGGCATTGCTGGGGACTGAGATGATGAAGATGATAATGTAGAAGGTTGCGAACAGGATGTTCTCCTCATGAGTGCTGAGGTAAATCCCCGCCACCGAGTGATTCGACATATTGCAGGTCTATACTTTGTGACTGATCTGCTGTTTGCAAAGGTTCAGAATTAGTCAGGTTTTAGCAATATTATTTTCTCAAGAACTGCAGAGTGACAGTGTGGGTAAATGTTTTTTTTTAAAAACTTAAGAACATATTTCATTGAAACATATTTCTTCAAATTTAAAAGATCTTATATTGAATTTAACTTATTATATATTGAATTTGACTTATCTACGATAATAATGCATGCATTATTATTGAAACCACATAGCAAGAGAGAAAAATGTTCAGGGTAATTTTAGGTAACAAGTTGTGATTAGTATATATATATATATATATATATATATATATATATATATATATACACACACACATTATTGTCTAAAAATATCCTGAAGAATATTATATATATATATATACACACACACACACACACACACACACACACACACACACACACCTTATTGTCTAAAAATATCCTGATTATATATAACATACACTGAACAGTAAGGTAAATGTTTCAATCAATACAAAATATGAAATGCAAAAATCTAAAAGAAATAGTTTTAAATGTCACCAATGTACTTACAAGAAGGTTTAGAGACTTCCCAAGCAGCCAGCACATAATGATAACACCTTGTTGTTTGGATATTGACCAACACAGCTGAATGACTGTGCTCATATCTGTTTCCTCATTTAGTCATATATGGACTTCATGTAGGAGGTATTACACACAAATTACATGCAGACGTCTGTGAACTCCTTTAACTTAGAATCAGAAAATCCCCATTAACACACATCACCCTCTACTGGTCACTTTACCTGCTGTATGTGATCATTACAACTTCATAAGTTACACTTCATAAGACAAACATGGCATAGTTCATATATAGGCTACTGTAAAGTTGAAGAAAAACGTGTATCAGTCCAGTATGGTTTACTAATTGTAAGAAACTTGGTCATATATAGTGTATCGTCGGCCATAAGTTTGAAGATTCCTAAAGTATATGTCTATACTACACATTTTAAACTCATTGGAACTTTTAAATTAACACAAACATGGGGATACCAATATTTTACACAAATCAAAACTTAAAACTTATTATTTTCGATTTATCAAAATAACCACCTTTTGCCTATACAGCTCTGCACTTATTACATTCATTCAGCAAAATGTGTCCAAATGTAGTTCTCAACACGTTTACTTTATAAGAATGTAATTACTATGAAAGTGTAAGAGACAATATATGTGATTAAAAAAACACAAGTCACCTGAACTATCTCCCAAAATGTTTAATAGAAGGACTTGAAGTCCTGTTGAAGCAGTGTTGAAGTGGAGAAACCACAGCCGAGAGGCCATGTAATGACAAGCATGCAAAACTTTATTGTTTTAATACCTACACTCTTTTGCACAGATTGCTTCTGCAATTAAAGCTATACAAAACCAAACATATTTACAAAATCTGTCTGTGCAAGCATGATTTTCTTCTATTACATTCTCTCTCTACAATTGTGTATAGGCATGCATAGAAATAAACTTTGGTACAATATGTTAACAAAACTAAAGACAATCTCTGAAATAGAGATGTTACAGTATATACATATGAAGTAGAGAGCAATTTTATCAATCACTACATTTTTTTTTAGTTTACATTTAGACATCAATACTCATTAATTTAAGAGCCATAGACTGCATGGGTAAATCAGGGATTTTTTGACATAGGTATAGGTTAAGCCAGGTATAACCTATCCTAAATGTACATAGTGTCTTACACAGTATATATATAGTCATTTTTAAGGATGTAAATTACAAACTTTGGCAAATAGGCAACTACTGAATAGACAGACAACTGTTCATTGCAAAACTATTTTCAATTTATATCAATAAATCTTAAAGACATTGGCAGTGCATGTAAAAAAGACAAAGAAAACCCGACAAGTTAGACAATTTCTGTTAATGGTTAGTATACTTACAGTACTTTTTCACTAATTATGGCTACAACCATGTCTGTCAATTTATTTAAAACTGCAAAATGAAAATAATCTACTATCATTTACAGGATGCTAATAACCAAAACGTTGTTTACATACTTTTTACCATGTTAACTGTAATACTTATTAGCCTTTCTTCAACTTGTATGAAAAATAAATACTCTTTTCAAATGAAGTGCTCTGTAAAATTCTTGATCAAGAGCCCGCTCTCTGCAATTAAACTTTTTACTTTTAAAAATAAAACAGTTGATATTTTTTATGTTTATGATTTGCAGAGATTCAAGTTTAAAACACTGAATAATGGAGGGAGGATGGCCATTCAATTGAACAGAGAAAATAACATGCAATAGCCAAAGTCATGACAAAACAAAGTTCACTCTCATGTAACAATATTATCTGTTCAAACAAATAAAATCACCCCAAAAAAAAAAAAGAGAATCAAAGTAAATCAGGGGTGACTCCCCCTCATTAAGAGATAAACAAATGGTTGCAAAGCAGCAAAGCAATTTACGCAGCATCCTTAGCGACAGTTACTGTTGGGATAGCTGATTTACCGGCACTCCCATTGTGCTGCCGACTGTAGCTGGTGAAGCTGGGTGTGTGAATGGTACGGATACTCTTCGCACTCTGACTCAACATAGTCGGGGACAAAGGGGAGTGGGAACAGGAAGAGGAAGAAGAGGTGGAAGGTCGACCATTTTGTGTCTGCATGGGAATAGAGAGGCCTTTAGTGTTGTGAGTGGGAGGGGCATATTTTAAAGAACCATTAGAAAGGGAGGGGATATGAGATGAGGGGGTGGAACTGGATCGAGAAGGAGGGATAGAAGATTTGCTAGCGGGAAAGGAGGAAGACAAAGTCGAAGAATTAACAATATTAGTAGAATCAGACTGGGACAAGCCTTTTCCCATACTAGAGGAAAAAGCAGGAATTTTAGAAGCAGGCACAGTAGGAGAAGTGGATTTGGGATCTCCTCCAGATCTTTTAGCACTTCCATTAGCCTGCGAACAAAGATGCCAAAACACACTGATTGTCAACAAAGGGATCTTGATTAAAATACGCAAAATGTCTAAGCATGTTTAAAATCCTACTACTGGAATCTACAGTTATTCACGACAGATTATCAAAGACACAGAAGCTACATATATAAGTGAAAGTACTAAAGGCACACACAGAAAACAGATCTGTCTACAAGATGAGAATACAGAAAAATATCACTCGAAGTAGAATGTCAAATGGAAAGGAGAAAGTCGAGGGAAGATGAAAGATGGTAGGATTATGAGCTTTGGGGTGAGTAATGCGCAGTGTAAGTGCAACCGACCAGTACTCAAGACCATATGAGGCTCCAGAAGGAATAGAGGAGGTACAATTTGGAAAGGCATCCACAGGATAATAGGGACAGATTTGTGGACCCTGGGCAGTGGAGCCAGGGTTTGGGCATTCCTCCGAGAGGTAAACAGGGAAAGGGTCCAAAAATGGGTTAGGTAGAGAAGCATCCTGACTTGCAAGGGAACTGTCACAGGCATTGGAGTGTGTAGGGGTTAGATGTCAGTGTGTTTTAGTTAAAAAGACCCTAGTCTAAGCATCGAACAGTGTTAGGTAAGCAGTGGCTGTAGTATTTTTATATCATTCTTTCCCTGTTGTAAAATTAGTTTGTCTTCTACTGCACCAAAGCCACAAGCAAAGCAAACATGCAGAAGCATTTGATGGCATTATGAGATAACAGTCAGTTGCCTTCGGTCACAGCCATTCAAAAAACGTAGCAGAAGAAAACGTCAACAGTTCAAAATAACAGCTTTCGGTACCAGGCTTTTCCCCAAAGAACAGGTTGTTTGGTCTCATCAGGTTCTTTGTTAGTTCCTTTCCCTCTAAACATATCCCCTGCAAGAACTAACTTTCCTCTCGAGTGTATGCCTAGGTGTGTGTATCTTTTTGACTAGACAAGTGGTCCTATGATAAGACTACCTGGCGAAACTGCCTCTGAGAGTCCTGTAGCTTTTGCGGTTTTGTTGCCCTCTCTTTGTCTGAGGTGCCCGGTTGCTGCCGCACCTTGGCAGAAACAGGCATCCGACTAGTAGGTGAGACCACGCTGGCATTCTGCAAAAAAGATTTAAACCAAACAGAAGAGAAAAGGGATAAAAAGAAAGAAGCAAAAAATGAGAGCCTTATTTCAGGGGGTTTTAAACTAAATCACAGCAAGACAAAGCTTGCACAGCACATCTGTGGACACTGTAGAGTATGTATACCAGAAAAGAAGAAGGCATGCAAACCAGCCCAGAATACCAACAAAGTTTCTTTGAGGACTGTCTTAGAATCCACAAAAGGGAACCATAAACAATGTGAGACTGTGGAAATGATTGTGGCCACCTTAACCCAATATTAGAGCACCATCAGTAAACACACAAAGGTTTATACATGAAACACCACACCAGAAATAAACACACCATATTTATAAAAATATGTGTAGGTGTTAAAAAGTTCACATCACAGAGTTGGTAGCCTCCACCACAGGAGAGGCTAAGGAAGTCACTGGGTGGAACTATTACGGGCAAGAGGAGAGGGACAGACCCATAGTCTTTGTTAAGATAGTATGAGCTAGAGAGAGACCTGGTGGGTGGGAACTTTGGTGACTGAGACCCCTGTAGTTGGTATGATGGCAGGCCGAGGAAGGATCTGTGGTTTGGTCTTTTTTCGGAGACCAGGACCTTTACTGGCAGACGTCGACCTAGGAATCGAGGTTTTGGGAGAAAGTCCTTTCTCTGAGTGCCCTGGACTCTCTCCAAACTCCGAACTGTCAGGGTTCACCAAGCTTTCTGGTTCTTCCAAAGACTTGGGCCCCATTTCGCAAATTGTGTTTTCAAGCTGCTTTATTGTTTGCTCTAGACTGTCAAGGGTTTTGTATGTACTCTTGCGAATCTCGTTAGTTCGTCCATTAGGCTCCTGTGGATTTGATTTTGAAGACTCTGTTTTGGAGCAAGCAATTTCAAACCTCTTGGTCTCTTTTTGTTGTCTGACAGTTCCGTCTGGTTCTTCCTCATCCTCGTAGACGACAACCTGCAGAGTCTTTTTGCCAGTTTTGCTTCCAGCACGAATGGCTTGCGTTAAAGCTGCAAACTGTTTCTTGGGAAACTTGAACTTGAACTTCTTCTTTCCATCTTGCTTTGCATCACCATTCACATCTTCTAATGCCCCTCCCTCAGAAAAAGTTGAGGATGAAGTGTTCGTGACTTGACCGTCTGTGACATCTGCAGAAGAATTTGAACCAGTAAATTTTCCAGAATCTCTACCATCTCCATTCTGTTTGACCTGCAATCCTCTAGTCCATTCTTCATCCTCAGTTTCCTCATTCTCCTCATCTATTCTTTCTTCTGCAAGCATACGCTCTAGTTCCTCCTCACATTCAAAGACGGTAGAGAGGCGTTTGTAAGCTGAGCGGATGTCCATCGGCTCATCGAAAATGATGATAACTGGCTTTTTACTTGAGTGCTCACCACCAGGGGAACCATTGGTGTTGGCATTACCTCCTGATGCTGAGCCACTGTCAGATGCACTTGGTCGTTTGCTGCCAACAGTTACCGTCTGCACACTACCTTTTTTGGCGTCGACAAGCTGATGGTACTCTCCAGTGGACAGAGCTTGTACATTGGTATTGGTGATCATGAAGGCAAAATTATCAGGAGGAGGGGGAGGTGGCTCTTCTCCTGGCAGATCAGGACTGAGAAAGGTCTCATCATTTTCCTCAATTTCTTCAAATTTCTTTTCCTTCACTTTGGATAGACCAAACAGAAGCTTCTGATTTGCCGAATCATCCCCAACAGGGATTGCTTTTGAAAGAATGTGTTCAGTGTCTCCAAAGGAGACTGGTGAGCAAATTGCTGTTGGAGACTCTACCCTTTCCTCTATGCTAACCTGCACTTGAGCAGCCTTGACCACATGAACTTTCCCTTTGGTTGGGCTACCTGGAACTTCTTCCAATGG